TAGGTCAGGGCTCCTCAATTCCAGTCCTCAAGGTCCAGTGTCTTGTGCCTTTTAGATGTGTCTCTGCTTCAACACAGCTGAGTAAAATAATCAGGTCATTAGCAGGACTCTGGAGAATTGAACCACACGCTGAGGAGGTTATTCAGACATTTGATTCATGTGTGGAAGAAGAAACACATCTGAAAGCTGCAGGAAACCGGACCTGTTGAGCTCTGGGATTTTGACATGCACAGCTCCGGATACTTAAGTTAAAATGGAGCCAAGCAGTTTCCAAGTCTGCTCTGAGATATGAGGCATGCAAGGAAATATAATGGAAAGAGGAAACAAAGCTCCTATATGCTATTTGTGTCATATGTTGAAGCCCATTAGTGGATCAAGAAATACTGCAATTTAAAGAGTTTCTATTATTGGACATGTGGGCGATATACTAATATCCTCATGAGTATAACTTCCTGAGGCCTAATATGACCACTGATCTCTATTTATTCACTGGATTTTTGATGGCTCATTGGTAGTACGGGGTGGAGTTGAGCCACCGGCCGCCATATTGGTAGGTCGCTATGTAAACAATACACACACTACAGCATCGAACAAGGATGATGTTCTCATTTTCAGGGGGATTAAGACTTTTAAAATATAGCCTACATATTTTCACCACCTGGACACACATTTGCTGTTTCATAGCATAAGTTGATTACCGTAATTCAAGATTACAAAATAGGCACATCACATTGCATAGTCAGTTTGAAGTCAATTAAGTCTATAAATCATGTACCGGTAATATGACATATTATACAAATCCATCACAACAAAATGTATGTGTTAATGGAGCATAATATTACAGATGTGCCAAATGTGCTAAATTGATCATGTATATGTAATATACATGTATTGATGACATTGACATGGTAATTACATATCACATATAATTTTAAGGCTGAATTACAAGTACATGTATGTTAATGCTATAGTATTTTCCTATTTGCAAACTGTGCATGAATGATGCTACATAATTTTATGCTGCGCCAGTGAATTAGCCTTTAAAAATGTTTGAGTTTCTTTTTTATCCCTCAATATGTTGTAACATGCATTATATTTCAGCACATGACTTTTTCAAATGAGAAATATACTGTACCATCCTTTCTTTTTGAGTTACGCTAATCCCTGCTGGGGTCGTGAGGGGTGCTGGTGCCTATCTCCAGCTGTTTACGGGCGAGAGGCAGAGTACACCCCGGACAGTTCGCCAGTCTATCACAGGGCATTACAGGGACAAACAGGACAAACAACCATTCACATATAAACTCACACCTAAGGAGAATTTAGAGAAGCCAAAAAACCTAACAGTCATGTTTTTGGACATTGAGAGGAAGCCGGAGTACCCGGAGAGAACCCACACATTTACAGGCACAACCCTGAGAAATATACCAAACACTACAAAAACAACAGCGTCATCAACTTAATAAAGAATTGCTACATTGATATATTTTACAGTGAATTAGTTTCTATTTACTCTTAATTTCTAACATTAGACACAATGTCAATGGTTAAGTCAATATCTTCGAGTCAGTCCGAGATAGCCAGACTATTGTTACGCTGCATTAGCGTATATATGGATTTTCCTGGTTAGTACATCCACTGACTGTAAAAATTACCTGTGAAACATCTTCCCACAGCCAGCAAACTGCTTGTTTTTGCATCCAAAGGCTACACACACATGCATTTCTATGGTGCATGCGTCTCTGTGGGAGTGGGGAGTACCAATATGACGGCCGGTGGCTTCACCTTTTTTGGGCTATCAGCAATCCAGTGAATAAATAGAGATCAGTGGATATGACAGAGCTTGTTTATGTTAGAATTAGCGTGCTGGTTTAACCAGAAATGACTCATGTCCAGATCTGTAATCTAACATTTTATTGAGTATTACTAAGACTTTGTCACATGTTTTTGTGAATACATCACCTTAAATTAGTATTTCTAAAAGTTATTGACACGAGGGGATGATAAACATGATCAATTTAAAGGGACCCCCCGGATAGGTGAGCCTTCAGCTTTCATAGTACTTAGTTGAAAAAAGGTAAAATAATTGATCCAGCTGTAAACAACACACACACACGTCCTTGGCTTTCCTGAGTCAACACTGTCAGCGGTAAAATTAAGCAAAACCATTTCGTCTTTGTTTTTACACTTGCAAACCTTTTCCTGAAGCTGTTAGGAGGTCTGATAAATGACATACGACTTCCTGTGTGTTAACAATGTAAGGCGGCCAGCCCTGAAACTTTACCTCAGCATTTGGTCTGGATCTGGGTCTGCCTGACTTTTCAGGTTCTCAAAGACAAACAACAAAACAGCCTTCCTGAATCTGTGTGCTTTATGCCCAATGAAGGCTGAATGATTGAACAGAGTAAATTGAAACTTTCCTTTTAAATTTCTTTGCGGTGTGACTTTCCTGCCCTGGTTGTTGGTTTGGGCCTTAGACATCCTGTTCCCAGTGTCGCTGCCAGCTGGTACAAATTTACGCCGCAGCTTTCCACTAGCACGCCAACTCCCCACTGACACACATCACAGCCGTGAGAATGTGGGCGTCCGTCAGGCTCAGATTCCCAAGCTGACCTCCGAAGAGCTATGGGGCTCCTGATAGGTCTTGGGGGCTCGTTTGTTAATCAACTGTATGATTGATGGCTGGGAGAGTGAAGCTGGTTTCACTCAGAATGGACTAAGCCAACCTCAGGCTTTAAAAGGAGTTTTTTGGTTTAAGCTCAGTTTTACACCACTTAAATATCACTAATCCCTAAATGAATTAGTAATGTTACCATGATGTTAGTATGCATCTGCTTAAAATGATGCCAAAGGTGTTTGTAAAATTAATTATTTTATTTCTTTGCTAATGTGGGAGACTTTGGCTTTAATAATCTTTTAGTTGGAATATTTAAAAATCTTTTAAAAGAAATAAACACAGCTCGAATTAAAGCAACAAAACAGAAATTATTAAATCTGTCAGAAGATAAGCATACTGTCATTACACTTATAACTCTGAATTTTATATTTTTGTGGTTTCCGGATATTTGTCACACCTTTATTCTGGATAAAGGAACAAATCTTTCATCAACATTAAGCTGGAGTAAGTTCTGACCCATTAACCTGTTTTTATACCAGTTGAGGACTACAGTCAGATTTAGTACTGATGTTTTTTTCAGATCAAGGTTTCATCTGAGAACATTAATCAAAACTTATGCAAGCAATCATTTTGCAATTACTGGACTGAACCTTGAATAAAATACAAGATCATCGGTCTCCAGGGTTTTTTTGTTCACACACTACAAAATGTAATTGCATGTTAAAATAGAAGGAATGGAAGAAAATTAAAGGGAAATTCCCAAAAGAAAACATTTTTATAAGCTTGGGAAACTATTAAATGACAATGGCTCATAGAGTTCCACATGGCTCAGTTTTAGATCCTACACTTTTTAATTTCACGTGCTGCTAATGTTATGACACAGCTATTTAAAGACCTTAAAAAAGTAAGAATGTATTAGGAGAGCAGTAAAGGACAAGTTGGCTTTGAAAAAAGAAATGATAGCTTATCATTTTGAATGAGTGTTTCTCTTTGATAACACATAATAATTCAACAATACAACTCTCTATTATGGTCCTAAAATGCATATCTTTATCTTTATACAGTGGTGGAAAGTAACAAAGTACATTTACCTAATTACTGTACTTAAGTACTTTTTTTGAGTACTTTCCTTGGGTAATTATTCTTGGAGGTAATTTCTACTCCACTACATTTGATAGTTTCTTGTTCTTTTTGGTTCAGCTTATCTTTGTAATTTTCTGTTGCTGTTTTTCTCTCTTGAAATACAATTTAGATAGCAGCCCTTAGGACTGTTTTGGAGATTTTACATGTTATCCCACAAATGTTGGAAACTCAGAGCAGATATTATCTGTAGTTTATAAATTTTATTAAGGCACTGGTTATTGCCATTTGGCCAAGTTGTTCAGTAGGATGATATCACAAATCTTATTGAGTTGCGGTTTCTCTGTGGTTATAGATTCAACCTTAAAACTCTATTCTATACTGAAAATGTAAGGAGAATAAAGACACTTCTCAGTTTTATTATTTTTTTTTTCTCGGTTTGTTTTAAAATAATAATAAAAACTAATTTTCTTTTTTGTGGCATTTTTATGCTGAAGTTCATTACAAGTGGTGTAGAATTTGTAGAATCTGCTAAACACATAAAGACAGAATTACTTGCAGATTGGCTCTCAATACATCAAGATGTTTCTGAAAGTTACAAGGTTCTGTTATGTATTTATATTTTTACATTTCTGCAAGGGAATGTCATAATAACCTCTAACAACAAAAATGCATTGACTGTTTGCATGTACTAACTATGATGTAGTTTATCTATCTGTGTCTGTCTTTGTTGCAAATATCTAATTTGTCTGTGACATCAACCTGATGGGAGGAATGCAGATGGAAATGAGCCTAATGCTATAATCTGGCATATTTACATTGTTTAATGTTCAATAATATGAATTGTCCTATTTTTTTAATTTTTATAAATAAATAAATCTAATGTAACAATTACTACATGTAGAACCTGCAATCTGCTCATCTCCTTGGGGCAGAACCAAACAGGATTTCTTGTGGCAATCTTATAATTTCCACAGCAATCTTTGTCAATCACCTGCAACATGCCCAATTATTGCACACGCAGAAGCTCCCCTTTTTGGAATCTGCACAGATCAGACCCAACGTTTATTAAACACCTATCAGTTTTTGTTCTACTCCAGTTGAGAGCAGCTGTATTTCAACACAGAGCAGAAAATAAGATGGATGCTTTTTGCTTTGTGCGGTTCTCTGATTAATAACACAGATTTTCAAAGCAGGCTGTTCTCGTCCAAAACTGTGGTCTGATTGGTTCACCACTGACAGCGCATTCCTATCTGACCGCCAGCTCCATACAGAACCGATGCACATGAAAAAGGAGAAAAATCACCTGAGAAGGTCCTGTTCCACATCCTACGGGTCACCAAATCTCCTTTGGGTCTCTCGATGTGTCCTGGTCCCCTTCTCTGCTCGCTCAAAGTCTCATTTAGAGCCAGAGAGTACAGCAAGATTCCATCATAGAAACCTGCTGCAATCAGGTTGTGCTGGACACATAGACACATCATGTTAACACACTAAGTCTGCTGGCCATCAACTTGCATGAATAAATCATAATGAATGTATTTACCAGAGAGTCTTTTATGGTGAAGTTGAAGCTTTCCTTTGCATCTCTTTTAAGAGCTTCTACAAACTGGAAATATTCTGGACTCTGAGGCTCCATGTAGCTCAAGACCTTCACACTCTGACAAGAGACATATATATGTATATTGATGAATGGCAAACCAGTCAGTCAAGTCTGTGATGCTTTATATACAGCCTGGAGGAAAAGGAAGTTTCCATTACCGTCACACAATTGGAGGGAAAACAAACAAAGGAAACTGTTGCTGCTTTAAAAAGCTCAGCGGCAGCAAGGTGTGGATAATCAAATCATGTGATAAATTGATCTGGAGCATAAACAGGACTGTTAAGATAATACCAAGTTAGAAAACACCAACTGTTACTGCAAATCAAGATTGGAAAGGTCATAAAGTCTAATTAAAGACATTTAAAGCCTCTAATTCTGCAGCAATACCTTTATTCAAAATGAAAAAACAAACATTAAATACCACAATCAAACCCCTCAGGATTGGACATTCCTGTAAGCCAGAGTTAGATCCTGCAAAGCTAAAAGAAGTTAAAACCACAGCAAGGTCAGATCATCAACAAACCACTGCATTTATAAAATTAAAACATTTGTTCAGATTGAGACCAGAATAAAGATGTTTAACTAGAACTATAGGGGAAAACTGGAGAATGTACCCTGGAAAAGAAAGTCTTCCTTTTTTGGGAAACTTTTCAAGCTGTGAGAACCTGAAAAAGTGACGTATTAGGGACAATAATTTTAAGTCCAGAAAACCAAGGTTGTAACTAAAATGTTTTACTGGTTTGTTGGTTGAGGATCATTGCGACAGGAGAAAGTGCTGCTATTTAGTGCTTTCACTTTGAAACAACAACTAAAACCAACTTTAAAGTTAGCTTTTGAGGTAAAGGCATTCATACTAATAAAATCATCTGCTAAAGATTGAAAGTCAATTGAAATGTATTTGCACCTTCTGTTTGAAAACAATAAAGCTTCTTATTTCTTATTCAAATTACATCAACTCGTAGTTTGTTTAGCAGTTGTCAGGATTTACAGATGTTAGATAGTGTTCTATTATTCAATTAATTAATTATAAAGTGGTTAGAGAGGAGGAGATGCACGGAAAAGCAGGAGTCGTTGCTGGTTCAAAACTCACACTATAACTTTGGGTCCCTGAGTAAGAACTCTAATTCCAGATTGCTTCCCGGGAGCCACCAGTGCATGTAAAAAAAAATGTAAAAAAAAATAAGGATGGAGTAAAATGCAAAGTCCTAATTTTTCAGATTTTGGGTTTGTTCAACATTAAGTTCTTGGTCACCAGTACTTATAGATGAGCTGGAAAGATAAAGGATTGCAGCCTACTGCAAAAAATTGATATCTAAATAAGTCATTTTCTTTTGAAAATAAGTGTAGTTTTTCTTTATTTGAGGAGTTAAGTGAGATACTTTGCCAATAGAACAAGACATTTACATTTAAAATAAGAAAACACAATTATTTTATCTTATTTCTAGTGCATTTTATCTAATTAACTTATTCTAAGAGTAAAAATACTCATTCCATTGGCAGTACTCTATCTGCTCAAATTATGGGTAAATACATTTAATATAAGACATTTTCTACTGATTTCTAGATTGTTTTTGCAGTGTAATTCTTGATTACAAAAACTCAGAATTCATAATTTGGCAATTCCAAAAGAAGAACTGGATGATCAGGCTGAAGCCCTAAAATTAAACATTTGTTGAAGTTTTCTGCCTTAAAAGTTTGACATCTGCCAACATTTCTTTATTTTAAAGTGCATATCAAACAACTCACACCTCCTGTCAGTCCCAGTGGAGGGAGGATGATGTGGGCTTGTTTTACACCCACTACACCTCATAGTTGCTGAGTCAGCAATGAGCTGATCTGTATACCACATCATAACCAGAGTCATCTGTGAGGCCTTGGGGCTGAACAATGGAGGTCGGTTGAAACTGGGTCATCAACATATTAATGATCCTAAACAAAGGTGCAAATCTACAACAGGACGTCTGAAAAGCAAAATCCTCAATATGTTGCAATGGCCTAAACTAAAAGATTATGAAAGAACTGTAGGAGAGTCCTGCAGAAACAAACTGTACATGTCTGGAAAGGTCAATGAACTGAAGACATGCTGAACAAAAGAGCTTGGTCAAAAAAAAGGCTACCGGTAATACTTTGAGATGGAAAACAACTACTTCAAGTTATAGTATGTAAAGACGCTTCTACAAGCAGATGAAAAAGGGTTGGACCTTTTTATACTGCAAAGAACAAAAGTTGATGCAGCAAAGAAAACCTCCAGCTATAATAAAACTGTTTATTTCACTTTAGTCACTTAACTAATCGTCTTGGAAACAATCTAACATGTAATTCTGAAAAACTAGACAAAAAAAAAAAAGATCTGAATAATGTTTTACCTTGAAGGCCTGTTTGGCTGCTTGGTCGTCCTGATCTCCTCTGTACCAGGGCTTTGCTGTATGTCTGCCACCCAAGCCTTCAGCAAAAAGATCAATGTAGAAGAAGACAAACTTCTCCAGGTCGGTGCTATCCTTCCACAACTGGACCATCAGATTCCTGAAGATGTCCATGGGGCTGCACACATACACCACTGCCGAATAAAGTAAAGTGACTTTAATGAAAGAAGGAGAGGGAAGATCATTTTTATCATGGAGTAAAGAAACAGAAACCTTCAGCCTGGAATGAAAGTTTATTTTCTGTACTCTTAGCAAGTGGAAGAAAAGCGACCTGAAAGCAGAATCTGTAAAGTTTGATTTAGTTCGCTTTTTCCTTTATTCTATCCTTTTTTTCTGTCTGTGACTTTAAGTTTATGAACTCTGAAAATCGTTGCGACAATTCTGTTCTTTTGTCTCTTTTTGTACAATTTCGAGGGCTTGCTCATAGATGTGCTTGTCTTTGGAGTGACTTTGTGTCTCATTGTGATTCTAAATTGTTACCAGCACTTCATCTCCTTTTGAGATGATTTTGAGTTCTTAAAAACATTGTCTTTACAGAAAATACAACTTTCTTTTTACTATTAATTTCAATACATTAATAAAGTGTGTGTCTGTTATATTGCTCTTTGTGTTTTTAAAGGTTTTTGGCTTGGTATTTATTTTCAATATCTAATTTATAGCATGTCTGTGTCTCCTCATGATCATTTGATTTTCCAATGTCTTTTATGCTGCTTTAAGATCCTAGTATTTCGAAGCTGTTCTCATGTCGTGACTCTCATGTACTCTCATCTAGCCTTGTTGTGTCACAAACACACACTGCCGGTCAAAAACGGCTTCAGGGTCTAGTTTGATTCAAGAACAGCAAGACTCAGTGAAGGAGGGCTCAGTACATCAGCTCTGGGTCTCCATGGTGATAATCAGAAAACCCCTCTTAACGAGCCCAGCGGCTAGACAGGACTCGCTCGTTAAAGATCGTTTAAGACCAACACAGCAGCATCGACGTAACCTTACCTCTCAAGGCACAGTTGAACTTCTTTAGAATAAAAAACGCAGATAGGGAACCAGATTGATTGTGTTAATAGATATTGTTACTTTGTTTGGATCTTCACAGACCCACACTGGGTGTTTTATTTAAAGTAAAACAGGCATCCTAAACTGCATTTCACAAGGGTCAACAACAATTAGTTTTTTTTTATTCAAAACAAGTAAATCAAAAGATCAGATCTTTAGCAGGAATTTACTGATCTGGATTTAAGGCTTAGGGGGATACAGGTCTCAGGATTTTTAGTTTGAGACCTCTAGCCTTTAAGTCTTAAATCACCCCCCTTTTCTTTTCTGAGTATCAGTGGGTCGGAAAAAAACTTTTTTTTCAGTTACACAGTCAAATTCTTAAATAAATGAGAACATACAAAGGTCATGTTTTGATATATAACATGACAAGAGCAATATGTTTGGTAGACAAGTTAAGAGAAAAGTTATAGACATAACATATTGAATGAAGTAAAGAAAACAACAATAAAGAAAGTAAAGGAATAAAGTCTGGTGTATTCATTGACTAATCACTTTCCTTGTGGCCAGTATCTATTCCATTAAGACCAGCTTACAATGTATAAGAAAAATGCTCTATTAATGTTTCTAAAATCTTAATTTAATGAACAAAGGAAAGTGCTTGGTTAGAGTTAGGCTGGTCAGCCAGTAAAAATTTGCTGTTCATGCTTTTCTTGCTCTGAAATGTAGATTTTTATATTCAGACATTTAGTTTACTGTGTTTCTATTGGCTCTACCAGGATAGCCTCAATGATTCTGCCAACACACTTCCAGATTGATATGGGATAACTCCACACCCTGTAAGTGTCTCAAATTCTGCATCCCTGCAGCTACTCCAGCACANCAATGATTCTGCCAACACACTTCCAGATTGATATGGGATAACTCCACACCCTGTAAGTGTCTCAAATTCTGCATCCCTGCAGCTACTCCAGCATATATATATATATATATATATATATATATATATATATATATATATATATTTTTTATGTTCCTTTATTTTGTAGATTATTTTAGAAATATTTTAGATTCTCTCAATACATTTGCTTTAAATAATACTCCTTATTGCACCAACCAGCCAATCAATGGACAGATCGATGTCTGGCTGGTTGAAATTTCCCTATTTAATGATGTGAGAAATATAATATCCTAGCTAGATAGACATTTTAATCCCTTCAGTTCTTCTGCTAAGACTTAGCAGTGGTCTTGACCAGTTTGAAAGGTTTACTTCGATTAGCTTATTTGGATCTTCTTGTACGAACATATCGAAGACTTAATTTTTACCGTTTGATGAGGGTGACAGAAAAAAAGCAACAATTACAGTTACAAAAATGTTCTTAGGTTGAGGTGGCTTAAAACTAAACTAAACTGAAACCAGTTAATCTATGCTGATCACAATGAACCAACAGGAAAATAAATGTCCACAAAATCTATATTTTCTGACCATATTTTCACCAGGCCCTTGCTAAAGCTGTGCATATTTATAAATATGTGCTCTTTAAAATAAGTTATGGTTATAATTAATATATACAGACATGTGGTAACAACAAATCACCTAATAGGAGTGGCCACAGCGTTGTCTTTGCAGGATTCACTCCTTGGATCAATGATTCCATCTTCAATTAAACTTTTTCCCAGAGGTTTTGCTGGTGGGCTTATTACCGGTATTCTACTACCCTTAGAAGTGTTAGAGTTTGATGCCTGCCTGTTCTCAACTTTGCCATGCTCAGCTCTCCTACTGAAATCAGTGACATTTTCCACACTTGCGATCAATTTTTTTAAGCACTCTTCAGCTTTCAAGTCTAATAAAACACTTTGATGCAAATGTCCCTCTTTCCTTCCTTGCTGTTGTTTGAGCTCCTTGTTATAACTGCATAACTGTGCCATGGATCCTCCTGCCTTGCCTCACCCTTCTCTGACTTCTACCAAGGTTTTGATCTCTGGACAACAACCTTCTTTCTGCACCCTGATGTCTGGGTTTTGCCAAGCCCTTAGACAGGTACTTTGATCTCTTATTGCCGGTCTAAACCGTCTGGATTCATTACTAACAGGTTCTCTGACGTCTCTGTACCAGATCAAGCCAGCCAAAGGTTGTTTCCACATCACCTATTGTGACGTCACTGCCTTGCTTTGCCTCTTGGTGTCTCCCTGAAGAAAAAAGTATAAAACTCCACAGGGTGAAAACTAGAGGTACAATCTGGATACTGTCACGTCCTTTCGAACGCCTACTGTAGAACAGACGTCTCTTCCAAGGTTCTGCAAACTGCAGTGATGCTCTCACACTCAATCTCACAATACACTGCCAGTACATTCATTGCGGACTCAATTAATTTAAATTCAATTAAATTCAAAAATACTTCACTGATCCCAAAGGGGTATTAAATGTTGCTGTACATTCTAGTTTACTGTTCTTTTCATTGATTTGCTGTAGATGTGAATACATGCAGGCAGGAAGGAGCTTTTGTCGTTCAATGGATCAGGAGAAGCCTTTTACTGAAGACACTCTCTTGTTGTTTAACAATCTTCTAAAGATGATGCTCACTGTTGTTGTAAATAATTTGATTTATTATATGAAGAATTCTTCTTTGTGAGGATTTACAAAGCAGTTCCTGTACAAGCCAATTAGAAAACAAATATAGTAGTTTCTGTTCCTGATAGCCAAATGATCTCAAAATGTTTGGTTGCCTTCTTTATCAGCCTGTTTAGCTTTTTTTAAAAAAAAGTTATTTGCTCTGATGATGTTACCCCAGCAAATTATAGCAGCAGAGATCACAAACTCCACATTAGACCTATAGAACATATGCAGCAACTAGCTACAAGCAGTAAAGGACTTCCTTAAGAAATAGTCTTGTCTGTCCCTTCTTTCCATGTCCATCAAAGAGGCGTTTAGAGTAAAAACAACTTAAATCAGGCTTACATCATACAAAGAACACAATGCCCAAAGAGAGCATTCTAAATGGTCGGTGGTTGTATACCACATTGGAGTCCTTTCACTTGATGCACTACATTCAGTCATTTATCCATTCATAACTCAAAGTAAGCTGCATTGTAGCCAAAGCTGATCTATGGCAGACTAAAGTAAGAAAAGCTGTGATAAAATCGATTCCGCCTAGCCTTCTGACCATCAACAGCAAGCAAAGCGGGTGAATAATCTTGTCCAAGCGCAGTTTCTGACAAATGTTCTCCAACTGAAAAAGAGATTGACTCCATTTCTACCTCTTCTTGATATATACTATGCTAGCTCACACAGCCCTAAAAAAGGGCTTTTTTAAAATATTTTTTTGAAAAATCAAGATTGTATTAAGAATCTATTGTCTCATTAGTCAGGAACATAACTACTGAAACAAACAGATTAGGGTCTCAAACCAGTCACCGAACCGAACTGCAGTACAGCATGGTGGTGGCAGCACCATGCGTTAGGAAACCTGGCTCTTAAATAAGGTAAAGGCATATTTAAACTATTTAAAATTCCCATCTTGCTAGAAAAAAAAATCTGCTAGAAAACTGGAGATAAACTGAGAACTTCATCTTTAAAGAAAAATAACACTAGACTATTGAAATGGTCCGGTCTTAGCTCTAACCTGAACCCTGGCTGTAATTGTTGGGGTATTCTTAGAGAAGAATGTATACAGAAGATGCTAATGTATTAATATATATTAAGATAATTTGGCTTTAAGAAACAGAACCAATTCTGTTTGTTTTTCTCATTGGTTTGTACAAGTTATAGATCACTTAGAGCTTATTGTTTCTCATTGCTTTCCAGCTTATGTCACAGGGGCATGTGGACTTTGAGTGCCCACTGCACTCCTGTATCAGGACTTTGCTTTTTCCACCTATCTCTTAGAGTTATGACTGAAATATTTTACATCTGGTGTAAACACAACACTCCACATTTACTGCCATTCCAGTGCAAAAAGCCTTAAAATAAAAATAATCAGTAACTTGTAACTGTTACTGATTGTAACTGTTCACAGTGTATCATGGAGATATAACATTCATATAAAACTAGTGAGCATAAGCCTCTCATTTTAGTTGAGTAGGAAGACAGAATGCCAAAGGAACCATTATTCCTGTAGACTGATACAGCGTTGTTGGACCTTTTGAA